TGCACCTTTAAATGTACAGGAGTCTCCCTGCCTCAGGTAGGGGGCCATTTAAGGCAACTACATTTTGTGTTTCAGTTCAGATTAAGGAATACGACAAAGAGATTTATAGAGAAAAAATATAATACTCGAGAGAGAGAGAAAGAACAAAGCGATCTGCTCTGTGCCATTCTGCATCTGAAGAGAAAACAAAATGACAGCTGCCTCACAGCTACCACTCTGGATGACAGGGAGACTCCTACATATTTAAAGGTGTGGTACTCACAAAAACCATCATCTCCTTTTAATCTCTGAAGTCCCAGTTTCCCCTATGATAAGTAAGGTTTCAGAGCAACAGACGTGTTAGTCTGTATTCACAAAAGGAAAAGGAGTACTTGTGGCACCTTAGAAACTAACCAATTTATTTGAGCATAAGCTTTCGTGAGCTACAGCTCACTTCATCGGATACATACTGTGATAAGCTATTACCAACAGGAGAGTGGGTTTGTTGGGGAGGGTGGGGAGAAAACCTGGATTTGTGCTGGAAATGGCCCACCTTGATTATCATACACACTGTAAGGAGAGTGATCACTTTAGATAAGCTATTACCAGCAGGAGAGTGGGGTGGGGGGAGAGAAAACCTTTTGTAGTGATAAACACCCATTTTTCATGCTTTGTGTATATATAATAAGATCTTCTAAACTTTCCACAGTATGCATCCAATGAAGTGAGCTGTAGCTCACGAAAGCTTATGCTCAAATAAATTGGTTAGTCTCTAAGGTGCCACAAGTACTCCTTTTCTTTTTATGATAAGTAGGGACACAGATTACCGGAGAGAATTCTCCTGTATTTCCACAGATATACCTTTGTTGAAAACTGTGGCTTGCCTGGCAGAGTGCAAGCATGTTACTTGACTATATTTCAGGAGAAAGTTCCAGCAGAATCTCCATGACAAAATATTCAACCCATACTAATGTGAATGGGAGCCTTGCTTCCCACATCAAGGGAAGAAAAGATCCTTTTAACTTGAAGATGGAGAGAGAGACTTGCACTGAATTGTGCGGTCCCTTGACTCCCTTTCAGTAAACACACTCTTGGCAGCATTAGGGTGACCAGATGAAATGGACAAAATATTGGGACACATGGGGGAAGCAAAAAAAAAAAGGCTGGAGCGGCCAAAGCTGCAGTATCTGGACAAATGGCGTCCCGACCATGCATCGGTTGGGACACGGGACAAAGAACTAAAAATCGGGACGTCTAGTCACCCATGGCAGCACGCACTGAAACAACATTGATTTAAACCCACTGCATTTGTAGAAGTCAAAGATTTTAAAGGGATTATAAAAAAGTATGCTTAATTTGACATTGATTGAGACTAAGTAGCAAATAAATCTTTTATTGGTTTGTTTGTTATTTCTGTTTGTTAAATTCTACTAAGATAGTATGGTGTTCTGTAGCAAAAGTCTTTTAATTTGGGCCGGCGTAGATTAAGAGTCCTTGATTTTGATATTTGAATTATGTGGAGTTATGCAATTTTTCTCTTATTTTTTTTAATTACTCTTTTCACTAATTACATTCCAAATAGATACAATATCTCTTTTCCTCCCGTACCACTGAATTTAAAAACATGTTATGCAAATCATTCATTTTAAAGTGCTGTCATTTAAAGCATCTCATTTTTTTTAGATAATGACATATCAGAACATGTAGGGAACAGAAAAATTCTGCTTCAATCTGCCTGTCACAGTTTGACAAGGACTGGAACTGTAAATAATTCGACCAGGTCTCATTCTTTTTGACCCAGGAACAAAATATCAGTTTATATTCTATCACAAAGTTGAAAAATTAATTTTACTCAATATAATAATGAGAAATTGTCAAGTACTTTAGTAAGGCCAAAATAGGATCTGCCGCCCAACAACATAGTGCATTCTAAATCTCTCTCACACGCTATCTCAGCTTTTTTAATCCAATACTTGGTAAAAAATTAAAACAAAATAGCCTACCAGCCAAGATCCTCTAGATCTTAACTCTGCATGGTGGTGCAAGGATAAAACCTCCCTTGTGCCTCTCTGTGTAGGATTAGACATAATTACAGCTCCTATACTTCAGGAGGGCACAGTCCACATGACTCTAGCAGCCCTACTGACACTAGACTCTCCAGAGGGGGCAAAAATGGGCTTTGGTCTTAATCCCCCACCTCCATTTCCACAGGCAAGAAGAACTGACACTTTACATGATGAAGCTTTTCCTGTCCCCTGTCAAAGGGTGGTATAGCAACAGCACACTGCTGAGCTTTGAGAGTCGTGCCGTGAGAGTCATTGCGCCTAACTCCAAGAGTTCCCACATAATAGCGTGCTTCCACACAAATAGACAATAGTCTTGCCTAAGCAAGCTTCGGCAATAGCCTAAGACACTGGGCTGTGACTCAGGTGATATGGATCCAATTTCCCACCATGTCAAAGATTTCACTGTATGGCCCTGGGCAAGCTGCAGAATCTCTGTGCCTTGGCTTATAATCAACAACATGGGTATAAATGTTTCCTTTCTGCCACCCTTTGCCCATCTTGTCTAATTCAAGAAGAACTTTGCTTGTATATAATCAGAGAAAAAATATGACACCCAAATCCCATAATAAATAGGGAGGCTTTGTTAGTTCCTTGGATTGTTGTTTTAAGCAGACTTCATTGTACCAGAGGAAACGATAGACCTCCGCTGAAGCACTTCAATGTTGATACTACCTATGCCAGTGGGAAGGGTTCTCCATCAGTATAGCTAATCCACCTTCCTGAGAGACAGTAGCTAGATCAACAGAAGAATTCTTCCTTCGACCCAGCGCTGTCTACTCCAGGGATTAGGTCAGTATAACTCCATCTCAGGAGTACGGATTTTTCACATTTTGGAGAGACACAGCTATGTTGATGTAAGTTCCCAGTGTAGACAAACCCTAAGGTATCTCACTTATTATTTGCAATTACATCCTTCTTAACTGAAGCCTGGTCTTCACTAGAAAATTAGGTCAGTTTAACTACATCAGTTAGGGGTGTGAAAAATCTAGAGTTAAGACAACCTAAGTCCCCATGTAGACAGGGCTGCCCAGAGGATTCAAGGTGTCTGGGGCAAAGCAATTTTGGGGGCCCTTTAATTAATTAAGCGCCTTTTTAATTTTTAGTCATGGAGAGAATGTTGTGAAGGCCAAGACTATAACAGGGTTCAAAAAAGAATTTATGGAGGATAGGTCCATCAATGGCTATTAGCCAGGATCGGCAGGGATGGTTCTCTAGCCTTTGTTTGCCAGAAGCAGGGAATGGGTAACTTGATGACTACCTGTTCTGTTCATTCCTTCTGAAGTATCTGTCAGCAGTCACTGTTGGAAGAGAGGATCCTGGGCTAGATAGACCTTTGGTCTGACCCAGTATGGCCATTTTTATGTTCTTCTATTCAGTATAGTGTCTAAACTGAAGCTCTACAGTGGGGTGGCTGCAGGGGTAGAGTTATTTCATTGTAGCATTTTAAGTGTAGTCAGGCCCTAAGATATTGGTCATGTTTTTGGTACTATCTAGCCCAAGATTTAAATTCTTACATTTATTATTAGTATTCACTAATAGTATATTTTTTTCCATGTTTTCAGTGTTGTGGTAGCCGTGTTAGTCCCAGGACATTAGAGAGACAAGATCAAAAGCTTATCTCTCTCACCAACAGAAGTTGGTCCAGCAAAAGATATTACCTCACCCACTTCGCGTCTCTACTTTTTTCCACACATTTATTCTGTACTCAGGAAAACCTCAGCTTGGCATCTGTCTGTAGCTCAAGCACATTAATTGGCTGCAAAATTGTATTTAACTACACATCAGTGAATGATGCAATATCTGAATGGTCTTTGGCAAAGATGGGTCCAAAATACAAAGTTCAGATCTAAATCTAGATCTTCACTTCTCTGAAGTTTGTAGAATACAGATCTGGGATTTGGTTCATGCATATCTCTAGTTTGATTGAGCCAGATTACACTATTTGGAGCACAGAGTTATCATACTACAGGAGAAGATCTGGTAACTCCATTTTACTAGTTCCCCATTTTACTAGTTCTGCACTGCAGGTGAGCTTCCAAGTGTGAATCTCGATCCCACTGATATCAGTGAATAAATTCCCATTGACTTCAACAGGGCCAGAACTTCTCTTCAAAATTTTTTCTTGGGATTGAATTTCTATAGAGCCATGTTAATGGTACAAGTCACAACAAAATGTAACATTATCCTTTCATTAATATCAGCCTCTTGTTCTGTTTAAAACAGCAAAAATTCAAATATTTCCTTCCCTTATAAGTTCAGTTATTCCCTCACTAGCCACGATGTCTGATGCTCATTGCTGCCACGGGGATAGGCTGCTATGGAGGCAGCAATGACAGCTGGAGTGGATGGAACTGAGCTCTAATGGCCTCCTGAATGATGATGCAGGCACTGGAGGTGGAAGGGAGCAGTAGTTGGGTAGTTCTAGCCGCAGAGGCTGGATCAGGACTCAAGTTCTCCTACTGCTATGAAGATATTGCCCTTTGGGGGTTATAATAGAGAAGTTGCTTTGGAGGCAGCATCAGTGGCTAGAGCTGAGGAGAGCAGGGTTTCCCCTGACTCAATAAAATAAGCAACTGGTAACAGCTGTGAGAAGGACAGTTTGAGAGAATGAACTCCTCAGGGCAGAAATAGTGTCCTACTATGTACCTGTACAGTGCCTAACACTTTTAGATCAGAAATTGAGTGACCAGAGATGGACACAAATCAGATGTCAAGAATTATAACATTCATAAACCAGTTGGAGAACACTTCAATCTCTCTGATCTAAAAGTGACTATTCTTCAACAAAAAAACTTCGAAAACAGACTCCAACGAGAGACTGCTGAATTGGAATTAATTTGCAAATTGGATACAATTAACTTAGGTTTGAATAGAGACTGGTAGTGGTTGAGTCATTATACAAAGTAAAACTATTTCTCCTTGTTTATTCCTCCCCCCCCCCCCACTGTTCCTCAGCCCTGGTCTACACTAGGACTTTAGGTCGAATTTAGCAGCGTTAAATCGATTTAAACCTGCACCCGTCCACACAATGAAGCCCTTTATTTCGACTTAAAGGGCTCTTAAAATCGATTTCCTTACTCCACCCCTGACAAGTGGATTAGCGCTTAAATCGACGTTGCCGGCTCGAATTTGGGGTACTGTGGACACAATTCGATGGTATTGGCCTCCGGGAGCTATCCCAGAGTGCTCCATTCTGACCGCTCTGGACAGCGCTCTCAACTCAGATGCACTGGCCAGGTAGACAGGAAAAGAACCGCGAACTTTTGAATCTCATTTCCTGTTTGGCCAGCGTGGCAAGCTGCAGGTGACCATGCAGAGCTCATCAGCAGAGGTGACCATGATGGAGTCCCAGAATCGCAAAAGAGCTCCAGCATGGACTGAACGGGAGGTACGGGATCTGATCGCTGTTTGGGGAGAGGAATCCGTGCTATCAGAACTCCGTTCCAGTTTTCGAAATGCCAAAACCTTTCTGAAAATCTCCCAGGGCATGAAGGACAGAGGCCATAACAGGGACCCGAAGCAGTGCCGCGTGAAACTGAAGGAGCTGAGGCAAGCCTACCAGAAAACCAGAGAGGCGAACAGCCGCTCTGGGTCAGAGCCCCAAACATGCCGCTTCTATGATGAGCTGCATGCCATTTTAGGGGGTTCAGCCACCACTACCCCAGCCGTGTTGTTTGACTCCTTCAATGGAGATGGAGGCAATACAGAAGTAGGTTTTGGGGACGAAGAAGATGATGATGAGGAGGTTGTAGATAGCTCACAGCAAGCAAGCGGAGAAACCGGTTTTCCCGACAGCCAGGAACTGTTTCTCACCCTAGACCTGGAGCCAGTACCCCCCGAACCCACCCAAGGCTGCCTCCTGGACTCAGCAGGCGGAGAAGGGACCTCTGGTGAGTGTACCTTTTAAAATGCTATACATGGTTTAAAAGCAAGCATGTGAAAGGATTACTTTGCCCTGGCATTTGCGGTTCTGCCTTTGCAAAAGGTTTCTGGGGAGGGCAGCCTTATTTCGTCCTTCATGGTAGGACACTTTACCACTCCAGGCCAGCAACACGTACTGGGGAATCACTGTAGAACAAAGCATTGCAGTGTATGTTTGCTGGCATTCAACCAAAATCACGCGGTGGGAGGAGGCAAAATGCGACCTTGTAACGAAAGCACATGTGCTATGTATGTAATGTTAACAGCAACACGTACTGGGGAATCACTGTAGAACAAAGCATTGCAGTGTATGTTTGCTGGCATTCAACCAAAATCACGCGGTGGGAGGAGGCAAAATGCGACCTTGTAACGAAAGCACATGTGCTATGTATGTAATGTTAACAGCAAGGTTTACCCTGAAAGAGTGTAGCCACTGTTTTATAAAATGTGTCTTTTTAAATACCGCTGTCCCTTTTTTTTTCTCCACCAGCTGCATGTGTTTCAATGATCACAGGATCTTCTCCTTCCCAGAGGCTAGTGAAGCTTAGAAAAAAAAAAAAACGCACTCGCGATGAAATGTTCTCCGAGCTCATGCTGTCCTCCCACACTGACAGAGCACAGACGAATGCGTGGAGGCAAATAATGTCAGAGTGCAGGAAAGCACAAAATGACTGGGAGGAGAGGTGGAGGGCTGAAGAGAGTAAGTGGCGGGCTGAAGAGAGTAAGTGGCGGGCTGAAGACAGGGCTGAAGCTCAAAGGTGGCGGCAGCGTGATGAGAGGAGGCAGGATTCAATGCTGAGGCTGCTGCAGGACCAAACCAGTATGCTCCAGTGTATGGTTGAGCTGCAGCAAAGGCAGCTGGAGCACAGACTGCCACTGCAGCCCCTCTGTAACCAACCGCCCTCCTCCCCAAGTTCCATAGCCTCCACACCCAGACGCCCAAGAACGCGGTGGGGAGGCCTCCGGCCAACCAGCCACTCCCCCACAGAGGATTGCCCAAAAAAAAGAAGGCTGTCATTCAATAAATTTTAAAGTGCTGTGCTTAAAGTGCTGTGTGGCATTTTCCTTCCCTCCTCCACCACCCCTCCTGGGATACCTTGGTAGTCATCCCCCTATTTGTGTGATGAATGAATAACGAATGCATGACTGTGAAGCAGCAATGACTTTATTGGCTCTGCAAGCAATGATTAAAGGGAGGAGGGGAGGGTGGTTAGCTTACAGGGAAGTAGAGTGAACCAAGGGGTGGGGGGGTTCATCAAGGAGAAACAAACAGAACTTTCACACCGTAGCCTGGCCAGTCATAAAACTGTTTTTCAAAGCTTCTCTGATGCGTACCGCGCCCTCCTGTGCTCTTCTAACCGCCCTGGTGTCTGGCTGCGCGTAACCAGCAGCTAGGCGATTTGCCTCAACCTCCCACCCCGCCATAAACGTCTCCCCCTTACTCTCACAGATATTGTGGAGCACACAGCAAGCAGTAATAACAGTGGGAATATTGGTTTCGCTGAGGTCTAAGCGAGTCAATAAACTGCGCCAGCGCGCCTTTAAACGTCCAAATGCACATTCTACCAGCATTCTGCACTTGCTCAGCCTGTAGTTGAACAGCTCCTGACCACTGTCCAGGCTGCCTGTGTACGGCTTCATGAGCCATGGCATTAAGGGGTAGGCTGGGTCCCCAAGGATACATATAGGCATTTCAACATCCCCAACAGTTATTTTCTGGTCTGGGAATAAAGTCCCTTCCTGCAGCTTTTGAAACAGACCAGAGTTCCTGAAGATGCGAGCATCATGCACCTTTCCCGGCCATCCCACGTTGATGTTGGTGAAACGTCCCTTGTGATCCACCAGAGCTTGCAGCACTATCGAAAAGTACCCCTTGCGGTTTATGTACTCGGCGGCTTGGTGCTCCGGTGCCAAGATAGGGATATGGGTTCCATCTATAGCCCCACCACAGTTAGGGAATCCCATTGCAGCAAAGCCATCCACTATGACCTGCACATTTCCCAGGGTCACTACCCTTGATATCAGCAGATCTTTGATTGCGTGGGCTACTTGCATCACAGCAGCCCCCACAGTAGATTTGCCCACTCCAAATTGATTCCCAACTGACCGGTAGCTGTCTGGCGTTGCAAGCTTCCACAGGGCTATCGCCACTCGCTTCTCAACTGTGAGGGCTGCTCTCATCTTGGTATTCATGCGCTTCAGGACAGGGGAAAGCAAGTCACAAAGTTCCATGAAAGTGCCCTTACGCATGCGAAAGTTTCGTAGCCACTGGGAATCGTCCCAGACCTGCAACACTATGCGGTCCCACCAGTCTGTGCTTGTTTCCCGAGCCCAGAATCGGCGTTCCACAGCATGAACCTGCCCCATTAGCACCATGATGCATGCATTGTCAGGGCCCATGCTTTCAGAGAAATCTGTGTCCATGTCCTGATCACTCACGGGACCGCGCTGACGTCGCCTCCTCGCCCGGTATCGCGTTGCCATGTTCTGGTGCTGCATATACTGCTGAATAATGCGTGTGGTGGTTAATGTGCTCCTAATTGCCAAAGTGAGCTGAGCGGGCTCCATGCTTGCCGTGGTATGGCGTCCGCACAGAAAAAAGGCGCGGAACGATTGTCTGCCGTTGCTCTGACGGAGGGAGGGGCGACTGACGACACGGCTTACAGGGTTGGCTTCAGGAAGCTAAAATCAACAAAGGGGGTGCCTGTACATCAAGGAGTATTTCAGGCAGGACTGCACGGAGGGTTCCAATAAGAAATGGTGCACCTAAGTTATCGTTGTTATTGGAACAAGGAGGTTAGCCTGGCCTCTGATTGATACATGGCTAGATTTACCTCGCTGCACCTTCTCTGTGAGTGACTGCAGTGTGACCTAGAGGAATGAGTCCCCTAGACAGGGGAGGAGGCAAATGAGTACAAAACAAATCTGGTCTATTTCTTGTTTTGACCCACTCCATCTATCTTTTACATCTTTGGCTGGCAGCAGACGGTGCAGAAGGACTGCATGCCATCCACATCTCATGGCTGCTCGGCAGAAGATGGTACAGTACGACTGCTAGCAATCCTCATCTCTTGCCTGCCTGGCAGAAGATGGTACAGTACGACTGCTAGCAGTCCGTATCGCCTGCCTGCTCACCATAAGACGGTTCAATAGGACTGACTGCAGGACTAAAGAGAATGACCTGGTCAAGTCACTCCAAATTTAGTCCCTGCGCCCATGTCTGCCCAGGCGCTCCCAGCCGACGCGGCCAGGAGCACCTCGGACACGATGAGGACGACTACCAATCGTATTGCACCGTCTGCTGCCAGAAGGCAAGGGGTTGCTGCTACTGTGCAGCAAAGCCGTACCGCGTCTGCCAGCACCCAGGAGACATAGGGTGACGGTTACCTGAGCGGGCTCCATGCTTGCTGTGGTATGGCGTCTGCACAGGTAACTCAGGAAAAAAGGCGCGAAATGATTGTCTGCCCTTGCTTTCACGGAGGGAGGGAGGGAACGGGGGCCTGACGACACGTACCCAGAACCACCCGCGACAATGTTTTAGCCCCATCAGAGCGCTCCATTGTGACTGCTCTGGACAGCACTCTCAGATGCCCGATTGTTTGCCATTGCTCTGACGCTGGGAGGGGCGCTTACAGGGTTGGCTTCAGGGAGCTAAAATCAACAAAGGGGGTGGCTTTACATCAAGGAGTATTTCAGGCAGGACTTCACAGAGGGTTCCAATAAGAAATGGTGCACCTAAGTTATTGTCCTTATTGGAGCAAGAAGGTTAGCCTGGCCTCTGATTGATACATGGCTAGATTTACCTCGCTGCACCTTGACTGCAGTGTGATCTAGAAGAATGAGTCCCCTAGACAGGGGAGGGGGGGAAGCAAATGAGTACAAAACAAATCTGGTCTATTTCTTGTTTTGACCCACTCCATCTATCTTTTACATCTTTGGCTGGCAGCAGACGGTGCAGAAGGACTGCATGCCATCCACATCTCATGACTGCTTGGCAGAAGATGGTACAGCACGACTGCTAGCAGTCCGTATCGCCTGCCCGCTCACCATAAGACGGTTCAATAGGACTGACTGCAGGACTAAAGAGAATGACCTGGTCAAGTCACTCCAAATTTAGTCCCTGTGCCCATGTCTGCCCAGGCGCTCCTGATCGACCTCACAGAGGCGACCAGGAGCACCTCAGACATGACGATGACGGCTACCAGTCGTACTGTACCGTCTGCTGCCACAAGGCAAGGGGTTGCTGCTACTGTGTAGCAATGCCGTACCGCGTCTGCCAGCACCCAGGAGACATAGGGTGACGGTTACCTGAGCGGGCTCCATGCTTGCCATGGTATGGTGTCTGCACAGGTAACTCAGGAAAAAAGGCGCGAAATGATTGTCTGCCCTTGCTTTCACGGGGGGAGGGAGGGAACGGGAGGCTGACGATATGTACCCAGAACCACCCGCGACAATGTTTTAGCCCCATCAGGCATTGGGATCTCAACCCAGAATTCCAATGGGCAGCGGAGACTGCGGGAACTGTGGGATAGCTACCCACAGTGCAACGCTCCGGAAGTCGACGCTTGCCTCGGTACTGTGGAAGCGCTCCGCCGAGTTAATGCACTTAATGCACTTAGAGCATTTTCTGTGGGGACACACACACTCGAATTTATAAAACCGATTTCTAAAAAACCGACTTCTATAAATTCGACCTTATTCCGTAGTGTAGACATACCCTCAGACGTTCTTGTTAACTCCTGGAAATGGCCCACCTTGATTATCACTTCCAAAGGTTCTCTCTCCCCACCCAACTCTCCTGCTGGTAATAGCTCATCTTAAGTGATCACTCTCCTTACAATGTGTAAGGTAAACATCCATTTTTGCATGGTCTGTGTGTATATAAATCTCCTCACTGTATTTTCCACTTTATGCAGCCGATGAAGTGAGCTGTAGCTCACGAAAGCTTATGCTTAAATAAATTGGTTAGTCTCTAAGGTGCCACAAGTACTCCTTTCCTCTAGATAGATGCTCTTCATGCCTGTCTGAATCCAAAAATTAGAATTGGCTATTAGATAATAAGAGTTCATGAGCTGGACCCCTTCTAGACAGCATAGGGAACCTACTTCCATTGCTGTCTGAGTTTTCATTTTCATGGATTTACAACACTGTCCCCGTGTTAGTTGTCTTAAGAGTCTTACTCCACATAAGGAAATGTAGATTAATAAATATGCCTGCTATAAGCAAGTACTTTTATGTGCAAAAAGCCTCACCTCTGGACACACTAATGTGTTAAACTTCACAAACAAAATAGTGCAGGGATATTAGAATACAAACTGTGGATTCTAGTTTTGGGGATATTGTGATTGCTCTTTAAAAATAATCAGTCTAAATGCTCAAGATCTATGATAAAAATAAATCTCTGCGTTCTTCTTATAGAGAAAATAATATATTTCACTCACTGAGGAATAGAGAGCCCGCGCTACAAATTAGCTTGGCTAAGCTAACATATTACACCAACCTTGCTGAAAGATAATGAATCTTAACCATACTTGAAAAGACAGCTACAAAGAAACGACATGTTCACTAATGAAATCACAGAGCACTGATAGTCATTTGAAATCAGATTAGTTAATCCTAAATTAATTAGCATATGTTTGTTTATTACTTTAGCAATATTAGCACCATAAAATGAGCCTTATTTAACAATGGGAAATAATGAAATCTAATTTACAGAGGACAATAAGTCAATTACTGTAAGGACCCAATTTCTTCATGGAACTTATTACGTAAACTAACTTTGGTTTTATTTCATGCAAATTAAATGAGAGACAGGTGGTTGCATTGATTGGCTAATGAGTTTGGAGAAAATTAGTTTGTAAGAAAATGCAAATCCAGGTTTTTAGGGGAAATATTCTAGTTAAATATTAAAATGTGAAAAGTTACTGCTTGTAACTCCATTAACATAGGAAATAAAACTTTTCTTTAGATGTGATAAAGAAGATTTATGATCATGTATTTGAAGAAATTCTATATAATGAAAGTTCTCATCAGAGCAATCTCACATTAAGGGCCAAATCCAACGCAAGGGGTTGGAGCTAGGTCTGAATGCTCATGTTATCTAAGAGGCAAGGTTTGTATCTGACTCCAAAAGTCCACACTGCACATCCACTGTGGAATCTCCTGCTAGGCTGTGCTCCATAGCTTTATCACCATTTATATTGTGATAA